CCCCCTTCTTACTTCCATCCCTCTCTCGGTCTCTTCGGGCTCCTCACTACATTCTGTTTGATTTTAGACACACTGAGGACGCTCTGAGACTCTTTCCTGACAAAGGAAATGAATAAAGATGCTGTGGATGTGTTTATGTGTGTGTGGAAGGGCTGCTATTTCTGTGTCCGTGTCAATCTTTTTTTTTTTTCCCACTCAGAGGGAGCAGAGGTTTGTGCTCAGCCTCAGTGTGAAGGACTGGAGGAAAAGAAGGTTATGAAGTAGATCGGTGTATATAATAGCTTCTGGCATGACAGCTGTGACACATATGTACATGCACAGACACACAATGTCACTCTTTTTACACGCACCTCCGTCTTTGCACTCCTCGCTGACATACCTTCTGCACACCAATTCGCACCCACCTACGTCTTTTCACACCTGCGACACCTTAGCATGCTTAAGGTGCCAACAAAGGCTGGACCTACACACACATACACACACAATAGAAGACACTGAGCACTAACCTCACCGTGCTTAGTCTCATCTTAAATGGTCCTTGGAGAATATCGGTGTCACGGGAGGGTCGTATATATCCAACAGAAGTATTGATTGGAGCTGATAAGCTGAATGGCCTCGAATGTTTCACTGTAAATCGGCCATCACCCACCTCACTGGAGTCACTAAACTTATTTAACGATTTTACTCTGTTAAAAGAGATGATATTACTGCAGGGCTCTGAAATGACCTTTTTTCCTTTTTCCTCTGTACTTTTCTGACTTAAGAAGAGATCCATCACTCGACTCAGAGCGGCAAGCTTTTTTTGATTAGGATTCAGAAAGGACTTTATCATATTCAACAGGTGCAAACTGTTGCATAGTAACAGAGTCGAGACTACCTGTTGGGTAAGATTTGACATTGCGCCTCTATTTTTAGAATTGGGTCATCTGTTTGACAAAAGGTAGTGTGATTTATTAGGAAATGAAAAATAGAAACTCAGCAGGCATCCAAGTCTGTCTAAGCTCGGGCCATCTGTCATCTGCATGCATACCTGTCTACCTGGAGCGGGGTTAATTTAGAGGGATTTATGAATGCGTTTTGCCACAACATGAACTGATACATAGATAATATGTGTCGCTATTTGGAAACTGTACCAAAGTATGACTCACAAAAGGTTCATTGTTTTGTTTGCATTACATTAAATGCAAGAGAGCACAATGAAATGCAAATAGCGTGACCTGTCAGGAGGTCTAAAGAGACAGTACCGAATACGACGCAGCTCTCTGCATGACATTTCAATCCAAATCTCAGTATGTTATAGACGAGAACAAAATATTTTTACATTTATCTTTAACTGAAGAGGTTCTCCTCATTTCTTTTGCACCAAAACACAACTGAAAAGTGTTAATGTTGTTTCAACTGCAGAGGAATAAACAGTTTTATGCGTCTTTAACACTGTAACGTCAAGAGTATCACACTCGATACGTGAGTTTTTGTGATGTGTCAAGACTTTTTTCCCCCCCTGGGAAAAAAAAACCTTAAATAAATTGCATGATACATTTTTAAGCTCAAACTGCAAAAAATGACAGATTTAGCAAATATGATACATATTAAAACTCATATGCAAATTAACATATATTTATTTCGTCAGAAGGTTCAATAACTACTCTATTTTCAAAAAAAACGGATTTTCTGGCAATTATTTAATGGTTCAGGTTTTAAAAAGTTAAATAAAAATGAGCATAAAGTTATTTTTAAAATATCTAAGATATTGGTCTCTGCTCTGTCTTGTTCATTTGAATGCGTCTTATTTTAATATTTGAATCAGTTTTGTGTAAATATCACCTCAAGGTATTGTTTTCATCCATTGTGTCAAACAGATAATCCATCTTATCATTACATCTCACATGACTTTGTGTTATAATTTAGTGCAATAATAGAAGAATTAAAAAACAACACTTTTTATTAAAATGTGACATCTAGTCTGGACCAACTAGTTATGTCTTGTGGCTTTGTTGCACCTGATGCAGCCTGTGGAGCCTGTGGTGAACAGACACCTTGGATTCTGAAGAGAAAGAGTAAAAATGATTGCATGAAAGAAGTTGGAGGTGAAGATCTGAAATTGGATAGAGGGAATAAAAGTGAGATGGGGATGACGAGAGCGTTTGAAGATGAGCTTGTTGGAGAGAGTGAAAGCCTCAAATCATAGAGTGAGTGGAGAGGAGGTCGGCACAAACAAGCAGCAAAGTCGTGGAAGAGTGACAAGGACGGAATAGACAGCAGGACGACAGGCAGGGTGGAGAGTGGCGAGGAGGAGAATGACATGCGCGATAAGGAAGAGTGACACAAATGTCACCATGCTAACCTTTCATGCACTCTCCCTCTCTCCTCTCTTCTGCTTTTTCCTCCTTTCTTTCTCTCCTTCTAGATCTGAAGCCTCGCAGAGATGGGCACCAAATGGACAGCATGGAAGCCAACATCCACCCTCCAGCGACCAGCTTTCCACAGCTAACTGCCTCCACCATCTCCTGCCATCAGCTCGAACCATCCGAGCGAGGGCTGAGTCTGCAGAGTTGAGCCTGGACCAGCCGTCTACCGAAAGCAGAGATAAGCAGAGGGCGACAGGCCTCGGAGGAGTCAACGCGCAACAAGCCAGTCGGCGTGTTGAGCGCACAATTGAGCTTCTTGGACTTCATCTAAAATGAAATAGGCTGCAGTGATGCTTGAGCAATGGTACAGAGCTTTTGGATATGTCCGGATTTATCAACCGGATATATTTTTGAGATTACGACACTTTGGTGCACACCTCAGAGCTCAGCCACTTTTTCCAGATTGGCTTGTGGGCAAAAGCGAGTAATTGAAAATCCCCCCTCGAGAGGCGCTCTGTTTTGATTTGTTGCGGGGGAGGAGGGCCTATCATTATTGTTTTTTTTCCTTCTTCTTCTTTCTTTTTTTTGAGGAACAATTTCCAAAACACCCGGCTTTTATCCCACAAATTTCCCCCAGTTTCTCTCACATTGTGGAGAACCACATTATGAAGCAGTACCATTCTTCTTCATCCTCCCTCAGTGACGGAGAGAGAGGAGGGACAGACTGTCCAGAATAGATAACGAGCAAGGAGACTGGCACCGAGGAGAGGAGAAGGAGAACAAAAAAAAGGAAGAAGGAGAAGAAGCAGAAAACGGGGAAACAGGTGGAAAAAGAAAGAGAAGGAAGCCGACAGAGGGGGGAGAAAAAAGGCAGGGACAGCGAGAAAATAAAGGACAGAATTAACTACGATTGCACAGAATCTTTTTTGGACTCTTTGTAATTCGTGTTGAGGCTAGTTAGCGCAATGGATAGGGGAGGGGTTGAGGATTTCACTGGGGAGGGGGGGGGGACTTGAGCAGGAGACTAGAATGATGTCCCGCCTACACCTGCCTGGTCTGTATCTCAGTGTTTGGGAGGAAGACAGGCTGAAAGATGGCCTGGTAAACAGACAGCTGTATTGAATGACAGACAAGCTCTGAGTCTGGTGAGAAAGACAGACAGACAGGAAGACGGGTACACAGCCCAAGTGTCAGGCAGAGAGCCAGGCAGACATCCAGTGCCGGCACAGTAGACGGCGCGCAAATCATTGTCATTCTGTGCAGAGCGTGAGAGGAAGGCAGAGAGCAGGAAAGAAAGCAGAAGAGCATCCTGGTGGTTGTAGCTTCTGGAGAATCTCAGTCAGTGCTGTGGCAAGCTCATGCACTAAAAAAAACCCAAACAAGCAGTGAGGGAGGGAGGGGGGGCTGTTACTAGAAGGGAAATACAGGTTGGGGAGAGGGAGAGCGAGAGGGACGGAGGTAAAGAAACAGAGGGAGAGAGCAGGTGTCGGAAATCCTCCCCTTCATCTGCTTGTCATTTACTCCTTTATGCTCTCTCGTCGTCTGCCGAGGTGATTGGTTTTCTGTTACCGCCGTTCCTCTGCTTACGGGCCCACTGCAATCCCGAGGAAAACGAGAGGTGGGCAGACAGAGGAAACCAGAATAAGACAGCGAAAAAAAAGGAAAAGGTGGAGCCTTTTCTGATTGACTCATTTTCACCCGTTCCTTTTGTTATTTGTCGAGGTGGGCTCTTGTTATTTTTGTGTTTGCTTTTTTTAAAAGTCAGAGATAGAAAGAAGAAAAACACACCTGCCCAATCGATCCCCCGTACATCCTCTTTGTACACAAGAAACAAACTTCTTTTTCCACCAATTGTTGATTTCTTGCCTTGCCTATCGGGATTATTTTCTCTTCTCAGTATAAACACGGGATTGCTCCAGATTCCTCCTGAATGTCCTCACACCCACTGACACAGTGTGAACTCCTCTGACTCCCCCCACGCCCCCCCACCCTTCACCCCCTTGGCTGAAGCGCTAAAACTCTGTGGTCTCAGATCTCAGTGCCTGTGTTGACTCACTACTACAGTGATAATATGGCACGGCGCTTCTGATACCGTCTGATTCATTCTGTAAGTAGGACCCTCTCTTTCTACGCGTGTACGTCTCCACATGTGTGGCGCATGTCATGAGCATGTTTTTTAGCTTATGCATGCAGAAGCGCAGAAGTGGCGTGTCTCTCTGCAGTGTTGGTTTTATGGTGTCTTCACAGCGGATTTGCTTTCCTGTGCTTCCTCTGCCCCAGGCGGTGTGTGTGTGTGTATGTGTGTGTTTGTGTGTGTCTGCCAAAGAAAGAGATTTTGATCTTACAGCCAAGCTTACAACAGCATCAGAGTGGTGTCAGAATGAGGCGAACAGGGTGTCTTTCCCTGTGCGTGTGTGTATGTGTGTGTGTATACTCCTACATTTTAGTCCTGAGGTTAATTTGAACTAATTAATGGTGAGTTTTTTGGGTTTTTTTTGCTTCTTGGAGCACTTTTTGGTTCTATGTCAGTGTACTTATATTCATTAGGGTGAGATGGAAAAGGGATGGGGGGCTAAAACTGAAGAGGGTGAACCAGCTAATGAGAATGACTCTGATTCCCTGACTAGTTCTTTGTTGCCTCCATTTCACGTCTAATGCCCTGAGCGTTGCACTCCGGCTGCATATCATTTCAGCCTCCTTTTATCTCCCTATGTGTTGCTTGGATGAAACCCCATACCGAAACCCAGACTCTGCAATGTCCTGCATATTACTAAGCCCATCTATCTCCACGGACACATCCACATCTTTATACACTCCCACAGTCACCAGGCCTCGCACCGGGAGACGCTCAATCAAGATAGTCCCTTCAAACAGACCAATGAACTGTGAATAACGCCATTACACAAACTCCCAGCTCAGAGCGTTACAGAGACAGAAAGATTGGGAGGGTGAAAAAAAACAGAGAGAGACAGAGAGGGAGACAGAGAATAAAAAAGCTTTCTGGAAATAGAAGAGCAAGAGCAGAAGGAAAATGAGGAGGGAGACAGAGAGTGTGAGACAGAAAGCAACAGAGAGGAGGACACGGGGAAGGGAGGGTGAGAAACGGGGAGGGATGAGGGAGCGTGTGGGTCTGGAGGGGCCGCAGAGCAGGAAAAGACCTCTGCTCCATGGGAGCGCTCTGATGGGCTTAGCAAGGCCCTCGCTTTGTTCACAGTGTTGGTCAGCCTCTCAGAATTAAGATTACTAAATAATACGATTACTGCAGCTGCACAGTGATAACACGCCGCTGCCGATCCCCTTTGTCACTGTCAGAAAACCCAGAGAAGAGGGGAGGAGTGGCATGTGATGGCATCAAAGGCATGAAAGTACTGACTACATTAGAGAGTCACAAGAGCTCCGGCTTCTCAATATGGCTCGCCGCTGAGGCAAATTGGGAAGAGTTGGTGTGACTTTTATGCGGCATGTGGTCATACAGAGGGGAAAAAACTAACCTCAGTCCAGGTGTTTTCTCTTTAAATATATGGATGCTGCCATTACATCTTTTCCTTATCTCTCCTCTGTTTGTTAATGATGCTCTTTTAGATTCAAATGTATTAAAAAAATAAAACATGAACGGGGAAACCTCTGTGTTTACAACCTCCTGGCAAATGTGTATGTAGAAGCCAAGAATCTCACGGTGAGACATGTGCCCCTTATCTTGGTGTTTTACGCCGCATCCTCTGCGTGGGCTGTTTGTTTTATGTTTCTGTGCTTGACAGCTTTGACACAGATCCCTGCCAAGTTGACCTTGCACTTTGAAGTGTAATAAACGCTGAATTCCGGGGCATCGATACATGTTCTTCTAGTAGCTGATAAATGGCCTGCTACCCCATGGGAAAGGGGGGAGGGAGGGAAACAAGCAGGCAGCAGAAACCTCTGTCCACTCCTGCTCAGCGGAAGTAAAGTACAACTGTCTGAAACCCACAGCTCCCAGAGTGGTGAGCTAATATCAGGGCTGGGCTGGACGCGACCCCCCTCCTATGAGATATGAAGTATTTCCACTGTCCTCTCAGCGGGGGCAACCATTTGCCTGCAGAGCTGAAGATTAGCTCGGAGCAGGAAAAAGAAAAGACACATTTAGCATGTGATAGTGTATCACAGGAGTAACAAATAACAAACCAGAGCTGAAGGCACAAAACGAGATCAATGAAATATGACACACAGCACAAACACGCGGCTCAAAAACGTCCCTAAACCAACTTGGCAAGCGTTCAGTTCAGTTTCTGTTCCCGCGTGGCACGTTTGTCATCTAGCTGAGGTTTCATGTGCGTGTCTTGTGTTTTTGCTTCACTGACATTAGATGAACTCTGACCCCAGGCCCTCCGCAGCTCTGCTCCATGGTCACAAAGTAACTGGGTGACTCACTCTGTAGAACCAGTCAAAGAGCATCCGTGCTGGATTATGTGCACTCTGCTCGTCGAGTCCAGACTTGCAGAAACAGAAAAGCAATATGGAGATGATGTGCCAAATTATTAGCTACGTGTTTGTGACATTTAATCTTTTTAAGTGCTTCTCACAGCAGCGGCGTTCGGTGTTGCTGCGGCGCTCCCCAATCATTTCACTCGGCTTTGTCAAAATTGTGGCAGAAGTGTGCATGGTTCACGAGACAGCCTTTTACAGCGAATTTCCCGTTGCCCTGCTTTGTACCAGTCGGGCCCTTTCAGATCACTGATCCAATCATCTCTCTGGGTTACATTTTTCTAATTGCTGGCGCATATTTTTATTTTGTGATTCCACTTTCGATAGCGTTTGAGAATATCTTTCACTTGTGTTGTGCTGTTCAGGCCAAAACATATTTTCACATTGTTCGCATCATCATTCATTTTTCAGTTCTTCAGTGGGAACAGCTGTTCTCTCTTTAGCTTAGCTGGATTGTAGCAGGGAATGAGATTCATTTCTGGTGGTGGAGCAAGAACAGATCATTATCAGACTGTTATCATTGCTGAATCAATATTTTGGGACTGTGGCTGTCTCTTGGATGGCCGTTCACTCCTAAAGGGCCTCACGCAGCTGCCGCTCTAAGGTGAACTGGGTTAATTTGGGATATGAGATCTCTTCAAATACTGAGGAGCCCTCCAGTTTCTTCTGCAGTGCAGTGTTTACCTAGCAGTTTGTCCAGGCCTGCTTGCTTCAGGCTAGCTGGCCTCAAGGGATGAATTGAGGAAGTGAATGAATGTGTATGTGCGAAGAGGGTGACAAGAAATGGACATCGGAACATGCATGCCTTTTCCATAATGTGCTCCCGGCTGGGCTGTTTGGCTGGCCATAAAGTGAATGCTGCTAATGGCCTTTCAGTTAATGGAGTCATTAAGACGGGATTGCGAGAAGATAAAAGCAATGTGTGTAATGTGCTTGAACTGGGATAGAAGTGTGATCATTTGTATATGTGTGCTGCTACTGTAAGCGTTTTGTGCATTTCTGGTTATTTGGTGCTTTAGTACCTGCGTGCACAATGACAGTAAGATGGCACTTACTCTCTGCTGCATTAGCATTAGTAGAAAAGGTCAGTATTCTATCAGCGTAATTGTAATACGGTCTGAGGGGCTCAGGTGATCAGTCTTGACCCGACCTGTCCTAATCAGCAGGCTGGTGGAGGCTCAGTGAGTCACAACTGTGATGTTTTACTGGCGATTGCTGCTGCCTTGCGTGAGCGTCTGAGTGACAAAAAGGGGGATAAATCTAATTTAAAGTCGTTCAAGGAGAATGTGCAACGATGGAGAAAGGCATTTTGGGTAGAGTTGCGTGCAGTTTTCATGGTGGCGCGGCTGCTCATTATGTCAGTTTCTTGATTTTAACCAGAGGGAAAGCTTGTGTCACCGTGCCGTCAAGGCTAAAAAGGCTTCAGCTGTAGATGTTCCAGCTTGCCTCGTGCGCTGTTTGCATTCAATTAAATGAAGGCTGGGAATGTTTCACCATAAGGTCACCGTAAGTGTCGGTATAAATGAATTGAAGTGAAGCCGAAAACTTTATCTAATAGAGCATGCATGAGTAGCTTCACTCGATAAATTTCAGAAAGACATCCTGTTTTTGTTTTGTTTTTTTAACCTAAAATTCAGGTGTATGTTTCACTGCACAGCTTATAAATATCCAACACTAACAAGTTGTTGCCAGCCTGGGGGGAATTACCCATATTTATCTGTCTGATGGTGTCAGTCTATCTATCAGGAGATCAGAAAATAAATTTCAGGGTGAAGGAGCTCACCTTTTAATCTAATCAGCTGGTAAGCAGGCAAAGCCTGCAGCTGGAAAATGGAGTCTCGGCAGAGAATATCATCCTGCAATCACCGATCAAAACTGTCTGAATACCCCTAAGGAGGCCTGAGGGGGTCATGCTTCAGAATGCATAAAGCTGATTTAATTTTATTTAGGGATCGGCTTATAAGAGCATATTTTAGCAATTATCATTCGGATGACAGACAAAAGTACAAACAGGTGGACTGATACGTGTATCTGTTTTTGTTTGTCAGTGTGACTACAGAAGAGCAGTGTCTTTTAATCCAGTATGAGCTGAACCCTCTTAAAGCATTCTTGAATTCTTCCGTTCATCTGCTCTGACACATTTCCACATAACTGCTTTTGAGTGTAAGATTGTTGAAAAGTCATTCAGGTAATAGCGGTGTCATCCTCGGTCTGGTAAGTCTGTTTTACATTTTAATGTTTCACTGCTGCTGCTGTTGAGAAAACGCTCGCCTGACGCTGCATTAATGGCACTGATCATCAACGTCATATCTACACGTGTAGTATAGCTCGCTTAGATCTTATAATATTCAAACTTGCTTGAACAGAAAAGATAACACTGGTGTTTTTGAAGAGAGAATATGTAGTATTTTCAAGTTTGATAGATTTGCTACACTCCATGGGTACACCTCAACTATGCTGGGTAGGACCGCCCTTTAGTGGCATCAATTTAACGAGATGCTGCAAACTTTCCTCAGAGATTTTGGCCTGTATGAACTTGATAGCATCACACAGTTGCTGCTGATTTGCTGGCTGCACATCCATGATGTGAGTCTCTCGTTCCAGCGTTTCCTAAAAGTGCTCTGTAGGATTGAGATGTGGTGACTGTGG